GACAAAAGCTTTGAAACCAGACCAACACACTTCCATGCCCTGTGCTTGCAAACAGCTATGCTATCCCTGATTTCCTGCCCATCCCCAAATCAAACAGCTCAGGAAAAGGCACCCAAGGGGTGCACGCGGAAGGGAAGTGAACAGCTGTGGCAACCCTGGGCATGGACACCTGGGGGGGAGGGGCGGGGCAGCCTCTAGGACCTCTGAAGAAGAGGAGATCTCCTTGTGGGCATCACGTATCCCCGCTTACAGAGATTATTGATCATTAATAGTTCCCACAGTGAAACGACCCTGCTTTTCTGGCCAGGAATTTTAGAATGAGCTCCCTTTAAAACGATTTCATTATTTTTAATGCCTTTTTTTTTCCTTAAAAAAAAAAAAAGACTAATCACTGACAATGAGAAGAGTTTAAAATAGAATTTTAGGCTTCCAGATTTTAATGGCCCTAGAAAAACGCCATTGTTAACACAGAAGCAGCTGCATACGTCTAAAAAATCACTTTGAGATTTGGCAGGGTTTCTTAAGAAACTTGAGGCTCAGCAAAAAGTTAAATAAATTATCCTTGAAAATGTCCCAAATGCTTAGGAACTAACTTCCAAGGGAATTTTGTCCATTCAATTAACCATGTAACACCAGCTTCCTAACAGCACATTTATAGAACAGACATTTTAAATATTCCATGAATGCACAAACTAGGGCTACCAGTCACTGCACCCAGCAGACAGCCCAGTTACGGCCCCAACTGCCTCTCCTTCTGTCTTCCTTCAAGTGAAAGCCTGAAACAGTGTGATATTCAGTGTGATAGCATTCAGGAGTTCCCAACCCCAGCTTCACTCGGGAACCTCCAGGGAGCAGCAGATAAAGCCATGCCTGGGTCCCACTGCACACAGACAAGTCTTCTTCGGGGTTGGGGCGTTGGGGAGTATGGCACCAGGATGTGTCTGCGCTCCCCAGGTGACAGTCACGAACAGCCAGAGCTGGGTACCACAGACGCAGACGGGGACATTTAGTAGATCAGAGAGAAAAGATGAGGTGTGCGCAACTGCAAGCACTGGATTTGACATCTGCTCTCTGACAGCAAGCATCAACAAACTACAGATGGATGTTGAGCCAGAAAGTCGTGCCTTGGTATCTCCAACATGACTGGTAAATGGGTTTGTTTTCCATCAGTACTTTAGAACTCTATAGTCTCTGAACAGGAGAGTATAGGGACATGATCCTAAAAGGGGTCCTTAGCCTGAGGTTGGTTAGAGATCTAGTAGGCTCTGCAAGAATTATTCTCTTTAGGTCAAGTTTTACAGTAGTCAGTACTCCTATGGTTACAGTGACTCCTGCCAGTTATCAAACTTTAATCCTCACGACAACTCCATGGGCAAATATTTATCCCCTTCTTGAAGACAGGGAAACGGGGGCTCAGAGACATTGGGCAGTGTGCCTATCACTCAAGTCCAAATTCCGAGTCACAAAACTCAATGGCAGCCAATTCCAGAGAAGGGGCACCAACATGCTGTCTAGCCCCTACCTCCAAAGCCTCATGACACCTGCTATTCATGGCTCCTGAGGCCTCCCACCTTTGCTTGTACAGGCTGAGACTTGGCTATAGCAAGGGCTTCCTGTCACACTGTCACTTAACTCCCCCATGTCTGGAAGGAACCTGCCCCAATCCCATCCAGGACCCAGCTGAACAGGGCAGTACGGATAAAGCCAGGATGCCTAGGGAGTGCCCCATCCCCTCTCCCCGAGAACATACAGGAGCAGGGCTGCAGTGTTAAGTGTGCAGGCCTGGATCTCTCACACTCAGGGAGCACACTGGCAATGGCCATGCCCACACTGCACTGCTTACAACCAGGTCACAGAAACCAGACCTGTCATGTGCAGGTGGTACATCAACCGCTGTCAGCTAGGGAGGGGGACGATGTAGGCCTTGTGGAAACCCTCTCCCCCTGGGGTTTCTTGCTGTGACAGGAAGAAAAGAGCCAGCAACCACAGGATGTCCCAGGCAAACCCCAGCAGCTCTCCTTGGCCAAAAGGTCTGGGCTGCCAGGAATATATTCAGGGAGGCCCATTTCCTCATTGGGAGGAGATCTGGGGTTCTCGTCTTAAGTCAGTTAAATCCCTACAAGGTTCCCACAGCCTGGGATCTAGGTCTGTCTTTCAGATCTGAATCATTGATGCTCCGGGAATCAGGTGATTCAGGAAATCAGTCTCACTCCACAGGAAAACTCAGCATCTGGCAAAAGGAGCCTGATAAAGGACAAAAGTACCCCCACAGAAGCGTGCATTCTTCTGGATGGAATGTCAAGCTGGTTCCCCAGGCTGAGCCACACAGTACTGTGCACAGCAAAAACCACAGAGCTGCCATTCCAGACCCGGCGCGGCTTTACCAGGTGAGGAGCCCTGGTTACAAAGTGAATTCTGAGGACCTACAACTTTGCAAGGGCTGTTCTTTCTTTCCCTGATTACACTACTAAGCAATGCACTGCAGGGCTTGGAATACTTATAACCTTCTGTCCCTGGTTCGTGCCATTTCCCCAGCCTGAGAAGGGCTCTCCTCTCCCCCACACATTTTGAAACCACAGGCTGCTACTCCTTGGAGCTCGGCAGGAACACCACCTCCTCTAGGGAACCCCCCCCCTTGCATCCCCCATCTCCACCCCATCGCCCCAGGCTGCTTCGCTGTGCCCTTTGAGGCTCCCGTAGCAGACTGCTGCCCCTGATGACGGGGCCAGCTTGTCCCCATCTTACGCTAAGGCCCTGCTCCTCCATCTTCCCTCCACAGCTAGGTTTGCAAAGGCAGAGGCATGGATTTTTGTCATCATGTGGCCGGGTCCTACACACATGGTGGCAGGGCACAGGAAGTACTGGGCTAAGACAAAGTGAGCGAGAGCTCTCAGGACTATCAGAAGACATTGCTTCGAGTTCAGGGAAAATGCCCACTCCTCAAACCACAGGCCACAAGCACAATCTCACCATACCTGATACTAGCAGCACGAATGGGGACCCGATTTCCAAAGCCGGGGCAATGAAGAGATGAAAAGACACAGCTTGAAAGGCTCACCCAGCTCCCCATCAGACAACTGGTAAAGGAAGGTGCCGTGCTCTGGCTGACACACGACATGCTACATTAGGAGAGGGAGGACGTGGCTGGCAGACCCCCTGCCCCCCAGGTCAGCGTGGAAGCTGCAGTCTAGAAACGAAGAGGGAGACAGTGAGGTAGGCATCCCCCTGCTCCAAGTACAGCCTGTTGCCGGCCATGCGGTAGGTGTGGAAGCTGCAAGAAGACCATGGGGATTCAGACTCAAATGCCCTGAACACAGACGCCCTTCTTACATCCAGTGGCCCAGAGGACATCACCACATTTGGAACTGGAAGGAATAGCACCGTATGAACTCCAATCTCAGAGTCAGCACACAAAGGCAGCTTTAGAAATCCTCCGGCAGCTTCCTGATGCCCAGGCACTGAGTCCCCAGTCTCTTTCTCGAGGGAGCAGCACCAGTGACACTGGGAAGCAGAAGGGAGGGGAGAGGAGGACCCTGCACCCTGCTGGCCCCCCAGGAGCACACAGGACTTAGTCCATCATTTGCAGCTGTGAGAATAGGAAACCCACACTCCCGATGGAAGGACAGACCCAGAGTCCCCAGCTAGAAGCAACCAAAAGGCCATCTTAGTCAACCATGGGCCGCTCGGCCTTCACTTGCATGATCAGCTGCTTACAGAGGAGGCACCAACTGGTCTCACTCACCCAGCCCCCCTGCCCCATCTCCCCCAACCAGCCGAAGGAATGAACCACCACTGTGCCCTCCTCATGTCTCTGCTGTGGCTCGGGATGTTTCTCCTGACACCAACCAACCTCAGACCCCTCCATCCTTCCAGGCTCGGGGCCAATGCCCCACAGCTCCCTGCTGGAGCCCTGTAGTCAGCCCTCAGCTCCTCAGCACCAGACATACAGCTTGCCACCCCTCACGATCTGCGTCTCTGTCCCCTCGGGCTGCATCTCGGCATGCATAGGCCTCACCATCCCCACAAGGAGCAAACCATATATCCTCCATCTCAGGAGTGCCCCCAGCAACCAGCATCCGCCTTGCTGAATGAAGGAGTGTATGACGTCCTAGGGACCCTGCGCAAGGTGAGCTCGCTCACCCATCTTCCACGAGGTGGGGCCCACCTTGGTTCCCCAGGCCTCTCAAGGGATAAGTGCATTTGAGATAGGTTCTTGGTCCTTACTATCAGCTATTCTAGATTTGAAACAAACCACAAGCATCTCAGTCAAATCTACTGTTGAATTTCAATTTCTGCTTCTACCTGAGGCACAGATGGCCCAGAAAGAGTAAGAGCACATCTGTAGGAGAAAGTAGGTGGTAAAAGACACACCTTGGTTGACGATGGTAATGAACTCCAGGGGTCGCTGGGCATTGGGCTTTCCTGCTGCAGACAGTGCCCAAGGGGCCTGGTGCCATAGTGGGCTACCAGGGGAGTGGGCTCCAAGTAGCCATGCCGAATGACATGCCTCCTCACCCTGCCCAGACTGCTGAACTGGTTTCTTCCCAGCTCCTGATGGGCTAAGCATCTGGCTTTGGAAGTGGAGCACAGATGGGAGCCATTCCAGGGGGCATGAGGATGGAGACGGACCCTGCTCTTCAAGTTCTGGTCCAGTCACAGGACTCACTCCACAGGGAAGAAGCCGCAGCTCCCATGCTGTAGGGTCACCATGTGTCCTACCATGGCTGGTGCCCCCACCGAAAGGGCTCCCCGAATTCCCAATGAGCGAGTGTGGCTGACCCTGTGACCAGGCACAAATCTAAAACCCAAGCCTCGGGCAGAATCTCAGAGTCGGTGTAAATGCACCTGTCCTCTCTGAGGGGCGGGCAGAAGGAACTGGGCAGCTGAGAGGAGGCCACCCATCTCACAGGCCGGATCAGGGGGTTGAAACGTCTCTGCCCGGTGGGCACCTGAATCACCCCCGAGCTCTGTCCGGTCAGGAGTAGGAAGGTGCTACATACTGTTTCGTTTGCTTTCTTCTCCTCCTTCTTCCTCGTTCTCAGGATCAATGTCTTCTGCTTGGGTGATCCAATCCAGGTAGCCCTTTAGATCCTCCTCCAGCTGCTGCTTCTCCCGGAGCTTCTGGAAATCTCCCCGGGCTTTAGCCTTCTCTCTTTCCTTTGAGAATTCTCTGAGGGCGGCAGAGAGAACACGCACACGTGAGGACGTCCTCGGGGACCTGGACCACGAGCCATCTGCCCTGCCGCACAACAGTCTTGTGGCAGGACACACAGCACTGAGTATAGCCACACGAGCACAGAAAGAGAGGCCACACACGGGGACAGGACAGAGGACAGTGTCTTCCTAAGCAAGACTGTGGGTGTCAGAGCTGCAGAGACCACACCAACACACATGCGCTGTCTCTTAGGAAACGAACAATCCCAAGATCCCAAGGAGCCCAGGCCCCAAACGCCACGTGCTATCATGTCAGGCAGGCTTCCTGACCCCCACCGCCCGCCGCCCCCCCCCCCCCCCCCCCCCCCCCCGTAGCCTGAACTCAGAGATGTCCCACCTCCCTCAGAGCCTCCTCGGATAGCTGGCATCATATGCCAAAAGAGCAGGGACCCAGGAGGGCTACGCTTTGGCCAGAGAGCACACACACCAAGTTTAGGGCTTCTTCAATACCTTCAGCCAAACAAGCATTCCTGACCCTTGTGTCCAAACTGAGTGCCAGGAGGGGGAGCAGGCTCCCCTAGCAGTACCTGCAGGTTCCAGCCAGAGCAGTGGACAGGGTCAGGGCAGACCCACCTCACAGCCCCATTCTCCCTTCCCGCGCAGGAAACAGGGCACCGGTGAAGCACTACTGTCATCTGTAACCCTCGCTTTCTTGCCATGATCTTTCCCCAAAAGTCTTGCCCGTAGGAGATGAAGAGGCAGTACGATTTGTTGCCCATTTATGGGAACACCTGTCCTGGAAAGGCTTTGGCAGACGTGTACACATTCCCAACTGCTCGTTGTTTACTCCATCTTTCGTGTCTGCAATCCTCCAACTACATGTACATACAGAATCCCACATTTGCTCAGGCAAGCCTGGGAGTCAGGTGGGTGAATACCCAATTTTCACATCCAAGGAACCATCTGTATTTCCAACCGGGAATGGCTATAGGAGCCAAGCTACATGAGTTATGGATTTCCTAAGTACGATTAAAAAGCTGCTAAGGAAGCAGATGAGATCACAGGCAGCACAGTTTCTGCACACACAGCCCTGGATTCTGACGGAGGTTACATCTGCCTTCCTTCTGCCTTCCTTCCAGCCCAAATCTGGCACATCTCCCTATCAGGGACCTCTTTAACCCAACCCGACCCAACTCAACCCAACTAGACCCAACCCAACTCAACCCAACTCGACCCAACTCAAGCCAACACACAAAGGGGGACATTATCTGCTTACATAAAGTCAACCCCTCTTCACTCTCTTCCCTCTCCCTCTCCACTCTGGGCTGTTGAAGGGCTGAACAGACACTTGAAAGCCCAGGGATGCTGATGCTTCAGATAAGAAACTAGAATCCTCACCAAAGTGCCACCCTCTTCCTAGTGAAAAAGGACGACACTCATTGCTCCCCGATCACCCCACTTTGGATGCCCCAGAAGCTGTCCTTGGCTGTGTGAGGGCTTACCCATCCCCACTTGCCCGCTCTGGGAAGGATGAGGAGCCCGGCCTGCAGAGGAGCTGACTTCAGGGGGTTTGCAGGGTGAACCAAAGCTGATTAAGACTCAGAGATGTTTTCTGCACTCCTCACCCAGGGCCCTTTCCTCCAATGGAGAATCCCTTCCTGTCTCATATAGGAAGGGCCATCACAGGCAGGGTCTTGCTGCTTGGGCAAACCGTACCCTCAGGATGATGTGGGGCTGCTAGGCCTGCCAGGCTTCCCGAGATACAGGACACGCATAACTCTGCTCTGGGTAGATTCACCAAATTAATTTAAATTTTGGAAAAGTCACACCCAATCCATCATGACATCCCTGAAGGATGAAGTGGAGGCCCAGGAGGTTCACTTGTCAACATGAAAATGTATCATATGCCATCTGTTTTTCTTAAATACATCATAAAGAGCAACTATGTGGGCCTCATTTCTATTGTTTGCCAGAAGTATCTAAGCCCAAATCTGTGTTTTGATTCTGAACTTGGAGTACGAAATTTACATGGTTATAATAAAAACAGGGTATGCTTATTCCTAGATTCATGTCTCATCTGAGTTCTTAAAAAAGATTACAAAGATAGTAAGAGAGTTACCTGAAAAACTTAAGGGCTTTACAAAAGAGGATTTTGCTTTAATGTATTTTGAGTTTGTTTTTTTTTTGCATTAGAAATACAAAAGAGAGAGAGAGAGAACTCTTAACAATCTGTATCACTGTTGTACATTCTTGGTTGCTGAGACACAGTAACACACGCATAGGTAAAATCCTACTATGAGTAAAATTTCTGAGAACAAAAACCACTGCCTGGTTTATGGCCCATTTGTTTTAAATAACAATCACTATTACACAAGTTCAGGTAACAAAGTTGTTTATGTAAACCCTCAGAACTGATTTTAGGCAGTTTCTGAATGGCCTAATACTCAGTAGGCATGCGACCTTTGCTGATTTGGACGGAACAGAGATTTGCAAGCATAAATCTCCCCCTGTCGGCTCTGAGATAGCAGGAAAAGGGGCCAGTGGAGGGGGTCCTTGTGATGGACCAAGACCACATTGGGCTCTCAGGTGGAAGACCCAGATTCTAGTCCCAGCTCTGTCACTGGTCTCTTCCGAGCTTCAGTTTCCTCAGCTGCAAAACAGACATAAGACCTGTTCTCCTGTTCCACAGAGATTAAGACAATACTATGGGATTCACAAAGCACTGGACAAATGTGAAGTTGAAAGATAGAATATTTAGCTGTTGAATCTGGGCATTAAAAAGGCCATGGGAAGAGCTTTCTCCAATACCAAAGGGAGGAACATGGCAAACAGCTCTAAGTGGGCTCTAAGCTACATGATCCCAGCAGAACTGAGAGAAACACAGGACACATGGGATCCTAGGCTCAGAGTGACCTCCACGAGCCAGCCAGTGCCTTGTCAATCCTATACCACTCTCTGCTCCATTGGGAATAACCCATTCCCATCTTGATAAACCTTCCACTCCAGAAAAATCCCACCCAAGTCCACTGAATCTTCCATCAACGTCAGTGGATTAAGAAAAAAACAGTTCTCCATTTTGCATGAGAACTCATTTTTGAAGCTTGTTACTAAGGGACTAAATAGCAGTCACTACCACAAAAGTAAATTTAAAACAGCTATTGGTAGAAACTATCTGACTTTTTATAAATGACTAGAAATCTAACAACTCATCATGTGACAGAAGCCTATTTATTCCAGATCAGAATTCTATTTATGGTGCATTCAATCAGAAGAAAAAAGATATAAGAAAGGCTTCGACAAAAAGGTACATGGTATTTTACCCTTTATGTATGAAAAAAGAGGAAATAAGAAAACACGCATATTATACTTCAGGGTGTATCCAAAGGATAAAGCAGAAAATGCAGAATGGGGACAAATGGAAAGGGAGGGCAAAACAGGAGGGACACTGTCAAGTATATCTTTCTCTATAGTTTTGACTTTTGGGACCATGTTAATGTGAAAAATTACAATTTTTAATCAAATCAACAAGGATGGGATGGAGGGAGAATACCCCTAAAGTGGAAGTAAATTGAGACAAATGAATCTGATTGTATTTCAAACGAATACCACAGCTATACTGAAGAGAAAGACAAAACTAGCTCAGGTAGCTTAGGGTCTCTTGACTGTAGGCTCTCAGCCTTGGATAGGACCGAGTGAGGGAAGAACAGCAAATAAATGCTAAACTCTTCCTGGGAGTTTCGCGTTTGGTAGTGCTATGGACAAAACAATGCTGAAATCATTCTGCATATTACAGGACTTAATGAATGAGCAAATGTGTCCACGTTGCTGGGAGTCAGGGTTCTCATTGGAGAAGGAGGGACATAGAAACATGAAAGAAAGGAAGACTAGAAAGAATCCTCTGGGGACAGACTGGAATTGAAGGTGTTGGTGTGAATTCATGATTTCTAGAAGATCTATGTATATATATGTATATGTATAAATGTAAGTATGTGTATGTATACGTACATATAAATGCATATATTTCCTAGCTCTGCTGAAAGGATATGGAGGCAAAGTCACCCCAGTAATTATGAGCACACCTGGCGCCCAGACTTTGTTCTCTAACGCCATTTCCATGAAAAGGAACCAGGAATCTTTGGTAAATTGGCTGATTCCAGGGCTAGGGTAGAGTAGGTACAGGATGAAACAAGGAAGGAAGTGCCCAAAACAAATAAATAAAAATTAAAAACAAAACAAAAACACGATAAGGGCATGCCATAAGGTCACAAGAGCCAGAGCAGTATCTCACACTTGCTAAATCTAGGATAGCTTGGGCCCCAAAATAATGAAAAACGGGAATAAATTATAATTTTTAAAAAAAATCAGTCCACACTTCTTATAGACAGATAAATGAAAAAACAAATGAACTGATAGTTGCTAGAGGAGAGGAGAAGGGGCTTGGGCAACATGGGCGAAGAAGAGTGGGAGATACAGGCTTCCAGTTATGGATGAGCAAGTCATGGGATTACAATACAAGGGAATACAAAGCACAGGGAAGAGAGTCAATGATACTGTGATAGCTCTGTATGGTAACAGATGGTAACAACGCTTGGGGTGAGCACAGCATAATGTCTAAACTTGTCAAAACATTATGTTGTACACCTAAAACTAATGTAATACTGTGTGTCAACTATACTTAAATTTTTTGAAAGTGCAAAAAACAAAAGCAAAAACAAATGAGATAAAATGTTAATAAGAGAATTCAGATGAAGGGTACATGAACTGTTCACTATGTTATTCTTATTCTGATAACATTTCTGTAGTTGGAAATTACTTCCAAAGAGAAAAAATTTTCAAGTGTTTGGAAAAATGTAACCAGAGTAACCAAATGCAAATTTATGTCATATATGCATTTCCGCTTACCAGCTAGATTGTAGGCTCTTCCCAGGAATAGACAATGTTGTCTATTTCTTATGTTTTCCTTTCCACATCTCTGTCTCTCCCATGATGCCCCCCTTCAAGTAGTCATGTGGGAAA